GATTTCTAGCTTCTTTAAGTTGCTTTCCACTTCAATCCTTCTCGTACCCAAGCCAAATCTGTGAGAAAGATATTGAGTGTTGAGGAGAATATCATTTGAAGCGCAAGAGCAAGGAGTTCATCACGAACACAACGTCTATTACCTTTTGGAGAGTGGTGTCTTCTAGATTGGTTAGGTGTCACTTGGGGGCCTTCAAGATCATGTGGAGTTGAACCAAGGAGTTTGTAAGGGCAAGGCGATCACCTACTTCATGAAGATCTGCCCGAGTGAGACTAGTCCTTCGTGGACGTAAGCCATGGTGGAATAGACAAGGTTGCTTCTTCGCGGACCCTTCGTGGGTGGAGCCCTCCGTGGACTCGCACAACCATTACCATCCGTGGGTTGAAGTATCCATCAACATGGACGTATGATAGCACCACCTATCGGAACCATGCCAAAAATCACCGTGTCTTCACTGCATTTGAATTTCCATCTCCACCCCGTACTCTCCGCGCATTGCATGCTTTATTATTTCCGTTGCTCTATCTCTAGATATGCATGTGTAGAAAGCCTTGGTATTATCTTAGCTAGTGCCAAAATCTGCCTAAACTTCAAGAGAACTGAAAACTGGATCTTTGGTTTGTTAAGAGTCTATTCACCCCCTCTAGAACTATCTTCTCTGATCCTACAGAGATGACTCAGGGATCTGTGGGATTCAACCACGGGTAACCTAGTCATTTTCCCTCCTTTTTCACCTGGTCGGAAAGCCCTCCGAGCGACTTAAGTACAAAGGGAGTACCAGATAACTAGCCATAACATGGCCATAAATTTTTTGTATGCAATCATCCCGATTACATACAAAAAATAGACTTAGTTGTCATTTGAATTGGTGCTTCCTTCAAAAAATGAATCAACACGTATTGATTTACCAAAGATGACATGATTTCATTTGGTAAACTAGGAAGACGTGCGTGGTTTTCGATGAAAACCAATGGAAAAATCAGATGCGGGAGGAAAAACATCAAAATAGAGGGGAGGAGGAGAGGAAATACATAGTGGAGGTTGAGCAAAGGTGGGGAGCGAAATGTTGGTGGGTGAAATAGGAGACCTTACATCTTTGTTCCCCTCTAAGGTGGGGAGCGAAATGTTGGTGGGTGAAATAGGTGGGGAGCGAAATGTTGGTGGGTGAAATAGGTGGTTGACCAAGACAGTAGAGATTGGCAATAGTAGTTGGGCGCCAAGTGCAATGGTTTGCAACAAGCGGTAAATTTCCCTCGAACCAAGGTATCAACCCGTGGAATCAACACTTCCAAGTCTAATTATCACCACTTCAACACAATTAGAAACTTACTTGTGTCCCCAACAATTCTAGTCAGATTGTCGATCTCACTAATTTTGCTAGTTACAATAAGTTACGAGTGTATTGTTTGGTTGGAGGTGCTTTATATTGGTGGTTCATAATTTCACTAGTGGCATCTCTTCAAATAGCAACAACGTAAAAATATAATCGCTTGTATGGAAGGTAAAAGATCAATATGAATATGAAAAATCATATGATATAATGTTTCCTCTCTTTCAGGAACCAGGTAGAGCTTGAGCAACAACCAATTATAAGTACATGCACACAATTACAATCCCGGTCTTGGTCCCCAATGAAAGCAATAAGATTATCAGTCTCACTAGCCTTACTAGTTACTTGAAAGTGATTATGGCAGAAATAAAAGTTTAGATACGTATAAAGCAATAATTAGAGTGCATTGATTGAGGCGAAAGTGATAGGGATGAGTGGACCCATAATTTCACTAGTGATATCCCTCCATAAAAGATAGCATGACATGGTGAACCAATTATAGTTTGGTATCGATTAAATTACAATTTTTATCATTATATGGTTCTACATGGCATAGTTACATATAGGCATCGTCTGCACATCTATAGTATGTTAATCTAACAGCAACTAGTTAATACTCCACCCGAAGACCGTTGTCCAGCATGCAAAACAAAGTATTAAGTAAAATAGAGTATTACATTAAGATATTGTCCTCACCCCCGACTCATCACTGGGACAACCATAGAACTATCTTTTTATCCATAATGACAACAACATAATACGGGCTTTTTCTATCACTATTGTAGCTTACTTGCAAGGTTGAACATAGTCTAACATATACAACTCCCTCTTGGAGAGTATTCATCTACATATGGCGAGTGCTAGACTAACAAATCAGAGAGCATGTATGCATATAAATTACGAAGTAAATAATTCATATGAATTCATGAGTAAAACATAGATAGATCTGATCAATGCACATCAGAGCAGATCATGATATGTGTGCTCTTAGTTGCCTGATTTTGATAAAAAAGCTAGGTCTTCTCATCTGTTGCCTAATTTTTTTACCGGTAGCCTCACATGATTGCTAAGTTGTGTGTCATTGCTAATTAGTTGTCTACAAAATACTATTTAAAATTACTGCTAGACATATTGTTTAATGGCCATGTGAGTTACTACATACTACACGCGACCCCTACTCGTATTTTGAGCAACTCGTTCTTGTATCCTAAGCACCTCCTACTGGTATTTGAGAAACTCTAACATATTGAACCTCCCCGTGTCCCTCTCCACTCCAGCCTACTCAACGCCAGCGTCACCCCACCCCCTCCCCCCTCCCACCACCGTGGCCATGCACCAGTTCCATCGGCGTCACCATACCGCCGACCTTCCTCTTCAAGCCCCCCAAAACGCATCCCCTCTCAGGTCACACCTCTCTCCACCACAAACACCATGGCCCCCGAGCATACGCTGTGAACGAATCCTAGACACGGTGTGCACGCGTGCTTCCCTGGCGATGACACTGCCCCTCTCCCCCCTTCCAACTACTCAATCAAGCCGCTCCTCCACCCCCTTGAGGGTGCCGCGCGGGTCACCTCTGTTCGATTCCCATGCCCACCTGTACTTCCCACAACCATGATCCAGCACCACATCGTCGTAAACCCTAGCGCTACAAAACCCCGACAAAAACAGTCAAAATCGAAAGCTACAAGGGAGGTGCGCGTGGACGACCTCTCCACGACAGCGAATCACCGCCAAAATCGTCGATCCCACTCGCCGTCGTTGAGAGAAATGGAGGGGATGCGAGAGAGAGAACCGCAGCGGGATGACTCCCAAAAATCCAAACACTAAAAGCGGTGCAGGTGGGCAGCGGTTCCCCCTAAAATTACTATACATGGCCCCACCACTAACCCAGCCCCTATCCGCTACGTGTGCCTCAAAACCATGCGTCCCATTGCCTCCCCTGCGGAGCCGTCCACAAGATTGGGCGGCTTGTGTAGGGTGCACCGGATGCTGCCAAAGAGCACAACTGCATTATTAAGTAACTAGGTTCTTATTTCATACGAATCCCTGCAGCAACGCAGGTGTCATGAAAAACCCAGACGCGGAAACTCTTCCTCAAACCACTCTTCTCTTTTTTTGAGAATCATCACTCAAACAACTCCTTTGCAACATGACATGCTACTCGGTCCATCAATACTTTCCTAACGAGCCCATAACCAGCCAGCTGGCCACATTTCAGCAAAAATGTCGTTAAGACCTTTCCTCCTAACTTCACCGCAAAGGAAAAATCCCATGCCGAGATCCAGACGGCCAAGGAAATTTCCAACATTAAAGGGGGGCACGACTTGACGCCGCAAGCACGAGCCGGCACCAACACCAACACCAAGTCGGTCTAGAGTCACATGGAGGAGACGTCCCCCCACCCCGAACCGAACGTGCGTGCGTGCCCCGTCTGCCACGGGAGGAAGGACGCGACGAAAGCGGGACGGAAGCCGGCCCAATTTCCCGGTGCGGCGCAGCCCTTGTGATTGCGAGCAGCGAGCGAGCGAGCGAGCGCCTACCCACTCCGAACCTGCAAAATTCCGTGCCCCCTCGAGCCGAGCCGACCCGACCTCCCGTCCCCCTCGGCGGCCGGCGAGGACCCGTTCCGTTCCCACCACGACTGGCTTTCACCTCCTCCTCCCCCTCCCCCTCCCCCGAGCCTTCTTGGGCCGCCGGCAGCGAGCGAGCGATGCTCCCCAGGGCGCTAGCGGCCGCCTGCTGTTGCTGATCCTCCCGACTCCCCCGCCGGTCGTCGCCCAGGTTAGTTGTTGGCGGTGGTGCTGGCGGTGTCAGATTCAGGTGATGTTTGTCGAGCGATATCCCCTCGGATTTCGGTCGACGCAAGTAGTAGTAGTGGCGGTGGTGCTGGTTTCGAATTTAGTATTCGTCGTGGTGCTGGGTTAGTGCCTTAGTGGGCTTCCCCCCGTGCCGTGCCGTGCCGTCGTGCGTCCTCCTCGGAGCACAATTACCCGCTACTCCCCTCCTCCGTGCTCGCTTAGTGCCAGGCTAACCGCACCAGGATCCCGAGATTTCCCCGGCTCCGGCAGCCCAATGCTCCTCCTGCTCCCGCGGATTTCTCGCCTCTGATCTCTCCCCGAGCCCGCTTCTTCTTCCTCGCGATTCGGCGCCGACAGCTACTCAGTAGCCAGCCGGCCGGCCGGGCACAGTGCTGCTGGACAGGCCTGGATTGGGTTCTTCCTCCTCCGTAGGTAAGGGAAAACAGCCAGCTTGATTCAACGGGTTGTTCCGGGAGTCCCTTGGGGATTGATTCCTCGGTTTGCCCTGCCACCGAGCAATCGAGATCCGAATAGTTCTTTCCCCCCAGTCCAGCCAGTTGCCGCCGATCTGATTGCCGCGTCGTGCCCTGCTAATCCGATCATAGTTCAGTCGGGTTATTCTTCCTCTCCAGCTCGCAAGATCGATCTGAGTTGACTCAGGATTTTTTTTTCTGCTCGGAAACTTGACCTGGTGCCCCGCTGCGGGCGCAGCTTGATTTTTCCAAACAAAATCGGTGAACCCCCGTATCCCACGTCATGTCCGCCGCTTTGACGCGGAATAGGAATCGAGTTCGCACCTGGCTTTGGGAAAGTTGCTTCTTTTAGCAGTATTGTTTGCTCACGAATAACACCCTTTTTTGTGGATGCAGATGATGGAGAATCATCAGATCGAGATGGGGGCTTTCAAGGCAAACGGCCTGGATGTGCCCAACGGCGTGCTGCGGTCGACCATGATCCCGTCCTGGAGCTTGCACACCACCGTGAAGAGAGTATTGCAGAGCATCAGGACCGTCATATTCACCTCCAAGCTCAACCTGCTCATGCCCTTTGGGCCTGCGACGATCGTTCTGTACTACACTACGGATTGGCATGTAAGTGTGTTGTTCATGGAGATTGATCTCTAATACGGCGCGTTAATTTATATATATCACTAGTTGTAGGCTTTTTCACTCCAACTAATAATTGTATATCGACACCACCTGGAGATCTTTGGCAAGAGCTGATGATCTTACTCACTGATCTTCAGGAACATATCTTTTGTTCAGTAGTTCAACGGCAGGTTTAAGTACAGATGATCAGTGAATGCTGACATTGTTTATATTTCATCAAACCTGCAGGGAGTGATTTTTCTTTTCAGCATGCTAGGAATAACACCGTTAGCTGAGCGTCTGGGTTATGCAACTGAGTGAGTTACCAGACTCTCTACTTAGTTTCCTGACTTTGTTAAAATCTGACATCATTTCCTGTTCTCCAGGCAGCTTGCGGTATACACTGGTCCAACACGTATGTCACTTTTATCACTCTGGTTAATAACTTACTGGAAATTATAGTTTTTGAAATAAGTACAATATCTTATTTTTCTCCAAATTGCAGTTGGAGGCCTTCTGAATGCCACGTTTGGGAATGCAACTGAGATGATAATAGCAATATATGCTTTGAAAAATGGGATGATCCGAGTAGTTCAGCAATCGCTATTGGGTTCTATATTATCAAATATGCTATTGGTGGTTGGTTGTGCTTTCTTTGCTGGTGGTATTATTCATCGCAACAAAGACCAAGTCTTCAGCAAGGTGATGTTTGTGTGGTTGATTTTAGTTTTCCAAGGGAAATCTCTGATAGTGAACTCATGATTTTCTTTACAACAGGCAACTGCTGTTGTTAACTCAGGTTTACTGTTGATGGCTGTTATGGGGCTGATGTTTCCTGCTGTCCTTCATTTCACAAAATCAGAAATACAGCAAGGAGCTTCTGAGCTTGCTCTTTCAAGATTCAGTAGTTGTATTATGCTCGTGGCATATGCAAGCTATCTTTATTTTCAACTAAGTGCACGGAATAGCAGTTACAGTCAAATTGGCAGTGTAAGTGTGGTACCTCAATTGTTTACTTCTTGCTGATGACATGACCATCGCTCTGATAATATATGCCATAGGCGTATCCTTGCTGATGACAAACTATATTGGTGCTCTCAATTTGGAACGCCATATGATAAACTAATAAATTTCCTTAAAGAAGATCACTTCAAAATATAGCTGCAAACCATGCTCATCATTTGCTGAAGGTTTCACCAATATTATGAAATTGCAGGAAGAAGTGCCTAATGAGGATGCCACCGAGGAAGATGAAGAGGTAGAGATTAGCATGTGGGAGGCTATTGCGTGGCTTGCAGTGTTAACGATATGGATTTCTGTCCTTTCTGAGTACCTGGTTAATGCCATTGAGGTATTTTCTTTCTCCCCAGTAGAAAAAGACAACAAAATTATCAGTTTTCTTCATATGTTATAATTGAAGTTAATTAAAGCTAACCTAGTTGATGACTTAAGAAAATCCGTTTTGTTGATAATGTGCACTCAGTGTGTCAGGGAAAATGTGCATCTTCAATTTTTAAGTCACATGACTCGTACATTATTGGTCTAATTGATGGTGAAAGTTAAATCTTGAAAGCGTGCATGTCTTATCAATTGGAACGGAGAGAGTACCAATATAGTGTCAATCTTACAGGTTAACTGTATACTCTGCAAGGATGTAATTGACCATTGTTTTGCTCTATTGCTGCCAGGGAGCATCTGATTCATTGCACCTACCAGTGGCTTTTATCAGTGTTATTTTGCTTCCTATCGTGGGCAATGCAGCAGAACATGCTAGCGCAATAATGTTTGCGATGAAAGATAAGCTCGTAAGTGTTTGTATATGTGGTTACTGTTGGTGTTTTTCCTCCTTCAGCATCCTCCTAACTGTTTTTGCATTTGCTTTACGCTGCTATAGGACATAACAATAGGTGTTGCAATTGGATCATCAACGCAGATATCAATGTTTGTGGTAATGCTTTTGAACTTAATATCCCATTGTGATATCTGTGTACTGTGTGAATGTTAGCACTTGTTCAGCCAAGTACAGTTCTGGTCATTTTTTGTTTATTAGGGAGTTAAATGTTCTACTGGTCTGTGTCGTTTGTAGATTGCTGCTATTCCTCCACTTTCTCTATTTGTCCGCGCATCATGCCTGATTTCTTATTTTTGAAACTTGACATGTGTTCTCTGTTAATGCAGATTCCATTTTGTGTTGTCGTTGGTTGGATGATGGGGCAAAAGATGGACTTGAATTTCCAACTATTTGAGACAGCAACTCTCTTCATAACAGTGCTTGTCGTGGCATTTATGCTACAGGTAAGTTCTTAAGCGGTTACCAAGAGTCTTTTGGTTAAACATAAACATGCATGGTGGGCTTGTAAGGTGTTTTGTACTCCTTGAGGACATATTTCTAGTTTACCCTTTGCGCTGATGTATTACGGTGCTACAGACATCCATCTTGGTAAAGCTTCAGTATCATGTGCTTATTTGTTTCTCTTTCTTTTTTTATGCAGGATGGCATTGCAAACTATCTGAAAGGACTTATGCTGGTTCTGTGTTATCTAATAGTTGCTGCCAGTTTCTTTGTCCATGTCGATCCACAAGCCAGTAAGCACTAATTCGTCGGATATATATAGATTTTCTTCTAGTTTCCATGATCGAGATAGTTCAGTTGCTGCCTGAAGGGAATGAACATGCAAGTATTAACGCATGACTCTCTTGCAGGCGATGATGATTGACGGCGCCACCAACAACGAACACTGTAATTACTGTACCAAATACCCCCGATGACTCGCTAATCTTATTCCGACAAGCCGCCCCCGCTCCTCCTCTAGCAAAGCCCAGCCTGTCCGAAGCATTATCCTGACTGAAACGATGACACGGCAACACCAGATCATCGTGCGTTGGTCCCTTTCATAGCCAAGCTGCTGCGGGGTTAATCCCTTTGAGATTTCTCTTGCGAATTAAGCGAAGCTTTGAGGAGGGGCGCTATTGGTAGTCACCATCTTAATGTATACAGAAGCAACAAGCCCGCCCGCCCGCCCGCCCTAAGTCTGCTGTATTCGATTTATTGAATTGAAGAGTTAAGAAGGCCCTTTTTTTTTTCCTTCCTCTGTTTTTCTTCTTCTATGGGGTGGTTTGTTGGTTCATCAACCATACATATGCATAGACAGTCAGACTCACATACGTGTGAATATTGAGACGGGCCAATTTTGTGGTATCTTACAAATTTTTTTATGGTGGCATTTCCTATTGTGTGTGACCTTGGATTTAGCCCAGCCTGGCCTGTGTGCCTCCAAGTGAGCCCATGTGCTGGTCAATATACTTGGGCGTCCCACCACGGCCCACTTTGTCCCAACTGTTTGGTTGGTATTAGCCAGCAGCCCACTGAAAGTTACATGGGTATTAGGGTATAAGCAGGATCGCACATAAGAAATGCATATATATATTTCTCTCAATAAAATGCATTTTTTTGTGGATGAAGAAAATGCACATATATTTCTAGTTCAAAAACTGCAGGCTACAGGCGAACACGATAGCAAGTTATTCAGGCTACAACACTAGTGAAACTATCTGAAAATAATAAAACTCTGGTTTAGGCTACAGGCAACCAGATTGTGCCACCATTTGCTTCAGAAGTGAACATCCCTCGCTTCACAAACTGACCGAAACTTTGTGAACCCAGACGCAGACTACATCTAACAATGATAAATTCGAAAGAAAAACGTCAGAACAAAGGGGAAAAGACTTCAGAACATGACTGCTGGAACTAGTTAGCTGTGTCTAGCCATGTACGTAAGTAATCAAGTGCATTGTGATTAAGGGATTAGGCACATTAAATTTTTAGGGTGGACCAGGCACACAATGACAGTTGACACGTGAGGACAACTACCAACCTCAGAACAAGCAGATGATAAGTTTACTCCCTCCGTTCACAAATATAAGATGTTCTAACTCTTTTTTTTAAAATCAGATCTATATATAGACACGCTTTAGTGCGTTTGTTCACTAATCTCAGTTTATAACATCCAAAACATCTTATATTTGTGAACCGGGGGAGTATCAGTTAGTAACAAACAACATAGGAACCTGCAAAGAAAAGAAAAGAAAAACAACAGAGGAGATGCATCTGTTTTTCCTTCAGGTTAACATCTTGTACCTCAAGAGACTCTGAATTGTAGACGAAGTGCCGTGTGCACGCGCACACCGCTACACCTATTGGGCACGAATACAATCTTGTTAGTCGACAAGCACATGAAGGATCATCAGCATTTAGCAGGAATGCCATTTCAGAACTTGACATGCCTCCTTATATTTCAGAACACTAAAGAGAAATAAACTTGTTTTCTAAGAAAAGATCATTCAGAAAGTTGAACTCTAAATCTATGTCATGTTCCAACGCGGACCATCTCCAAGTTTGTAGTCTAAGGGCATCTCCAACGCGGACCATTAAACCGCCCTCATCCGGTTTGGACGTACTTTGCCAGCCAACATGGTCATGTATATGTCTACTAGCCGGTCCGGACAGCTGCCACGTACACGTCCTGCAACCCTGACCCACCCAAAGCCCTCTCCCTCGCCCGCGCCCTTTCCCATCCGAAGCAGTCAGCGCGGCATTCATGCCGGCCAAGAGCGGACGTAACCTCTCACTTAGAGCTGACATTGAAGCGGCAGACCGGCCGAGAATGTCGCCCATGCCGCTTCCGGTGCACGCGCCTACTCTCTCCATTCGAACGACACCCGTCCATCTACCTCTCTCCATTAAACATGTACAGTTGCCGAGGAACCTACTCCGGCACCCGCATGCGAACGCCACCCGTCTGTCCGTTTGTCGGCCACAATTAACCACCTCGCCGCTTGGCCTAACATCCACCTGCTATTTAAACGCCAAACCTGACAACAGCCGCATCTAACCTCCTCTGCTCCCTATCTTCTCTCGGCACCACACCCGCCATGGTTTTGAGCTCCAAATCTTTGTGGGAGAGCCTCTCGGACGAACAAAAGAAGGAGATCGCCGTCATTGGGGCCGGCTGGCAAGCTGACAAACGGACAAGCTCTCCGGAAGCCAGTATTGCGGACGAGCCAATAGAAGAGGTGGCCGATGATGAGCCGGCGCCACCGTCCTCGCCGGCCCATGCCGGCATCACCATGGGCGAGGCGCGGGCACACTACACCAAGTTTGAAAAATTATCCAAGTTTGAATGAAATTCCTTGCCTTGTTTAAATTTGCATCAAATTTGTTTATTTTCAGTAAATGTTGTTCGAAATGTCTACGGACATATGCAACTCACAATTGGACGGCTGGCTCCCGCATTAGTGTCCGTGGACTGGTCCCCACCAGTGCGCGGACGGATACAATGTTCTGTTTGGGGGTCAAAGTTGCAGATGTCGTTAGTTACATCAAATCGCTTCTAAATGTCTGGACCAGACAATTAGGACACTTTTGTTCATCCAAATGGGGTTACATCAAGTGTCCGTGAACGCGGACAAATACCCAAAATATCATAAATCGGACCCAAAATGTAGAAGTGGTTTGGTGGAGTCCAGACACACTATAAAAAACATGGACCCTCACCACAAGCCCACTTTTCCTCCTCCCTCTCATCTCCATCCTCTCACCATTGGACAAGGGGTGGACATTTGATGCACCGGGTTGGGTGGCAGCTCCCCCATCCATAGCGCGCGGATGTTTTTGAAGGAAATATGCCTTAGAGGCAATAATAAATTTGTTATTTATATTTCCTTATACCATGATAAATGTTTATTATTCATGCTAGAATTGTATTAACGGAAACTTAGTACATGTGTGAATAAATAGACAGACAGAGTGTCCCTAGTATGCCTCTACTTGACTAGCTCGTTTATCAAAGATGGTTAAGTTTCCTAGCCATAGACATGTGTTGTCATTTGATGAACGGGATCGCATCATTAGAGAATGATGTGATGGACAAGACCCATCCGTTAGCTTAGCACTATGATTGTTTAGTTTATTGCTATTGCTTTCTTCATGACTTATACATGTTCCTATGACTATGAGATTATGCAACTCCCGAATACCGGAGGAACACCTTGTGTGCTACCAAACGTCACAACGTAACTGGGTGATTATTAAGATGCTCAACAGGTGTCTCCAATGGTGTTTGCTGAGTTGGCATAGATCGAGATTAGGATTTGTCACTCAGTGTATCGGAGAGGTATCTCTGGGCCCTCTCGGTAATGCACATCACTATGAGCCTTGCAAGCAAAATGACTAATGAGTTAGTCACGGGATGATGCATTACGGAACGAGTAAAGAGACTTCCGGTGACGAGATTGAACTAGGTATGATGATACCGACGATCGAATCTCGGGCAAGTAACATACCGATGACAAAGGGAACAATGTATGTTGTTATGCGGTTTGACTGATAAAGATCTTTGTAGAATATGTAGGAGCCAATACGAGCATCCAGGTTCCGCTATTGGTAATTGACCGGAGATGTGTCTCGGTCATGTCTACATAGTTCTCGAACCCGCAGGGTCCGCACGCTTAACATTCGATGACGATTTATATTATGAGTTTCCTGTTTTGATGAACCGAAGTTTGTTCGGAGTCCCGGATGAGATCACAGACATGATGAGGAGTCTCGAAATGGTCGAGACATGAAGATTGACATATTAGAAGGTCATGTTTGGACACCGGAATGG